AATATGCCTTTCCTCAAATGTAGCCTTCCTTCATTACCTTCTTCCTTCCTCTCAGTCTTTCTCACCTCACCCCACTTCTGCCTCAGGGTGTTGGGATCAGAGTTGTAAGAAAGTAGGGCAGATCTCAAAGTCTCCTTTTGACTTCACACTGACCACATATGATATATAAATATTTCATGATAACTTCTAATTTACAGACTTGTAGAATCTTACTGTGCAAGGGACCTGAGAGAACACCTCATCTAGTTTCCAGTTCAAAGCATGAATCCCACCGTGGTACTGACAGTCTAGACTGGTCTCTATACTGCCAGGCCATGGCTATCGAGGGATGCCTAAAGTCTTTTATTTGTTCTCAGACTCATTCTCAAGTCCCTTAGGCTGAAAATAGCCAGGAGTAAAGATGGGGTTGCTGCTGAGTCTGGCTTGCATGTCTGGAAAGCCAGTTTTTCCTTTGGACTTACTTGGGGAGCCAACTCCCAGATCAGTCTGGGAGCCTCCCAGGGTGTATATACTTAACCTCAGGACTCTGTCTGGAACATCCTTTGGACCATTCTGTATCCTACAGGTCCTAGTAACTAGATGGATCTAGATCTGGAGAAGGGTTTGATTCATAGCCATAATCCGTCCCTCTCTACATTTCTTAGACCTGCCACTGGCCTTGTGTTCAGAATGCAATGGATGTTGGATATTGGGTGTTGGCCAGTGAGGAGGTTATGGCAACTTAGGTAGAAGCAAATCTAGGAATTTTAGAACTTCTTAAAAATCATCTGGCCTAGTCCCTTTATTTTGCAGATGAGGAAACTGAAGCCCAGAGTGAGAATTACATCATCTTTGATTTAGAAGGCATTGTAGAAGTCATCCAGTCTGGCCTCTCAACATCAACATCTTACAATCTGGGAATGTCTCCCCCAGCATTCTTGATAGCTGGTCATCCAGAGGATTGTACTGGGAACTCATAACCTCTGAAGAAAACCCATTCTAATATAGGACAGCTCTAATTAAAAGGAACTAACTAAATTGAAATCTATTTCCCTGTAACTTTTATCTTCTCAGTGGTTCTAATTCCTTTCCTGTGTAACATCTCCCAAGGTACAAGACCTCAAATCCCCAAATTATCAGATATCACTATAGCATATAGTTTCCCTAATCAGAGTAAAATATAACTGAAAAAGAACTTGATTGATTCTATGAAGAGAGGTCATTCACTCTTTCGTGGATCCAAAACTTCTTTTTCCAGCTGAGAACCACTACTTTCTTAGATTTCTTCACTTTCTCTTCTGTCACTGGCACTAGCATTTACCTCTTTTCATGATACTTTTAATAAACATACATTTTATCACTTTGTGAATATAGCTGTACTCCAGAGTATCAGGAGAAAGCAGCAAATAGGACTTGAAGGGGTGGACTCACCCCTGCAACCTGTCTGGCTTCTCAGTTCATATTTGCTAGCTGTAGTGGGCCTCTCCGTTTCTATTGTCTTTTTCTTAGCCTGTGAAGAGTCCCAATTGATCTGTTTACCTCCAGCCTTCTCCTGCCCAAATATAACATCTTTGCTTCTGTTAGAATGATTTGTCTAAAATGCAAATTTGACCATGTCACTTCCTTAATTCAGTGGTTTCTAAACACCCAGTACTCCACAAATTTTCCACTAAATGACTACTGATGATAGAGGAGCCTTTCTCAACTGGATTTCCATGAGAGAATTAAGCCCTAATGCCATTAGGCATCCATTGTATGTAATGTATTAACTTTTTCTCCAATGCATCTGGAATGGTGCTAGTTATGTACAGTCTTGAGGAGAATTGAGAAAATAGTCACTCTAATCATTTTCTTTGTTCTGTGGATCAGATGAGGAACTCAGTGTGAAAGAGTGGAGAGAGAATGTATGTTCTTCAGGAGATCCAGAAGCCTGGCTAGGAGCAACCTCCAGGGGAAAAAAAAAAACCAACTAAATGTCATAAAAGCTTAGGGTTTCATCTTTAGATTTGTGTGAATATTGCATTCTGCCACATAATATGTCCATAGTTAAAAGTGTTTAAAAAATATTTATCAATGAATAAAATTAATTTTATAGGAAGATTTTTCCTAGGGTCCATGGAACTACAAATATTTTTCTCTTAGCCCTGTAGTAGACGTTTTATATATGTTAAAATATTTTAAATTGGGAAAATTGCCCCAAGATCGTATAGCTAGTAAGGTGTCAGAGTCCGGGTACTAACCCAAGTATGTTTCAACTCCACAACTTGAAGCTGAGTTGAGTCAAGAGCCTTGGAAGTCTTTGCCCATTTCCAAGTTTATCTTCACTGGAATGTAGGCTTTTTTTGTCTTGGTCAAGTTACTGTTGTGTTTCAGATCATGCATAGTTCTGTACTTCTCATGCTGAATATAACTAACTTTGATTATCCAAAAGGAAAATGAACAGTGAATCAGGTAATTCCATATAACAGGCAATCTTGTCTCTCTTTGGTGGTTCTGAAACATACTAAATGGCTTTTTAAAATTTTTTATTTTTTTAAAAGATTTTATTTACTTATTAGAGAGAGCACGAGTAGGGTGAGGGGCAGAGGGAGAAGCAGACTCCCTGCTGAGCAGGGAGCCCTTAGGCTCAATCCGGGGTCTTCGGGGATCATGACCTGAGCTGAAGGCAGACGCTTAATTGACTGAGCCACCCAGGCGCCCCTAAATGGCTTTGTTTAGTAGCAGATTTACTTTTCTAATTGTTTTGTCTTGATATTTACATATTGTCATTTCTTGATTATTCTCTAGATGGTTGTGGCAGCTAGCTTTTTTGGTAAGAGGAAACCACCTTGCTATTAAAAACTTGGTTCCCCACCCATATGACATAGAGTTGACTCCATTTGTGTCTGCTTACTCAAGGCCCTTGGGAAAGCATAAATGCTAAAGTACCAAGGTGTTAGAAGCGTCCCCGCCCTGGCCCCCAGTTCTACATGTACCTGGCCATCTGGAATCCGGTTTCCATTAGGTGTCCAGAGAGAACGTCTGGAATGTCTTGTCAGTGGTCACATTCAACACAGAATTTCAAGGGGATCTGGCTTCTTTAGCTCCTCTGAGAAGCTGGAACAAATACTGAAATGATTGCTAATAGAGGAGCTACAGTGACTGTTATCAATCATCTCTGGCTGCACCACTGAATTGCTGGTTCTTCCAGAAAGCTTGAAATTTGAGAGCCTGAGAGCATCCAGAGGATGGTGTACAGAGCCCTGTGAGGTTCTTTAATTGTAACCTCCTGCCTCCTTTCTTGTTATAAACTCTTCACCAGTGAGTTACTAATGATTGCTGCGTCTTAGTACCTGATAACCCTCTACATCATGTAGAGGAGTTAGACTGGAAGGGAAGGTCCAGAGTTTGGATTAGAAAACCTGTTGAGTCAAAGGGAAACTTAGCAGAGGAACGGAATGAAAATTATTTCCTTAGACAGTAGACAAATATTCAGGAAACACCTCTGCACCCCAAAGATAGGCACAGCTGCCACACAGTGACTATTAAAGGGAGGTTCAAAGTTATGAGCAAACAGCTGATTCTCTTGGTTCTTGGGCTGTTGCTGTTGGTGACAGGAAATCTTGTTCCCCAAGCTGCTGGCTTCCTGTTTTATTTTTACTCTTAGTAGATCAGAATGTCCATAACAAGGAGCAGTCTGTTCCAAAGGGTTCTACTCCCCCCTTTGAGCCTGAAGAGCTTTTTTTTTTCTTTTGGTCAGACAATATGTTGGTTCACTTTTAAGATCTATGATACTTAGCTTGGTTTAAGCATTTTGTATTCACAGTCAACTTTTTTTGGTGATGAGCTGGTGTTTTAAGATTTAATGTAAGTAAACCTCTGCTTTGCTTTTTAAAACTATATATATATATAAAGAGGAGTTTGCAGTATTGGGGATGTGGGTATGTTACCTTTATGCTTTACCTTTTCATTTGAAGCGAATTTGCATTTTCCCTAGCATGAAAACAATTAGGCTGTTGGAAATTTCTTTAGTTTCACGGGATACAGAAACAGGACCAGCCCAGTGTGCCTTCGGCTATAGTCCTACCCATTTTGTTGAGACTAAAACCTCCTCCTACCCTTGTAAAGCTAGGAATTTGGTAATCTAATTCTAAAACAATAGCTCAGCATGAACCTGAAGTGGTGGGGATTTCCTAGGGAAAGGGGCTCAGCTGACAGGATAAGAAATGGTAACTGGAAGGTTTCCGGATCTGCTCCAGACACTTCCTGCTGTCTCAAGAGCCTTTTGGCCCAGGTGTGTTGAACCGGATGCGGATGCGAGAGAGAAAGGGAGCTGTTGGGTAGAAGAGAAAGGACTAGGGAATCTTATAGCACAGTTTGCTCAGCATCGTGTTTGACATATTGAACATGTAAAATTTTCCTTGATATTCTTTAATTCTGTCAATTTACAGACGAAACTTTAGTGTTAATAGACACTGGCAGCTAGTGTTGTACATTAACAGTCATCCATCAGGGAAGAACTGGAGAAGTTATGTCCTGATGTGGATCAGTGGAATCACTATTGGCAGCTTAATTTCATTGTGGAGATTATCGGATGACAGTAGCTCTTTTTTGATCCTTATAATTGATCATCTGGAATCTGATCTATCCTGATTATGGACACACCAAGGATAGGATCCGTCTGGACCATCCAGAGCCTGCTGAATGGACTGTTTTCTGACCATGCCTCTTTGCCTCTAGAGACTCTTGTTGGTTGGAGCACAGTTGTTATTTTAAGGTTTTTAGGTTTTTATGCTGCCTGTGTAAGTCAGCCAGCAGTCACCAGTTCAGAATTTCTAAACTTATCCAGCAAGCCTTCTAATAGCAAACCTTAAAGATTGGGGGGGGGGCGGCTTAAAAAAGAAAAAAATGATGGGGGAGAGAAGATTTTTTAAAAGCTGTTTTAGATCAGAGCAAGACAAAAGGGAAAAAAAAGACTCACACAGCCCTAGAGTGCCTGGAATTTGTGGTTGAGTAATACTTTCCTGTTATTTCTTTTTTAGGTTGTTTTTCATCATTCAGAACATTGCCTGAAGCAGGTCCACCATGCCGTTAGTAACGAGGAACATCGAGCCAAGGCACCTGTGCCGTCAGACGTTGCCTAGCGTTAGAAGCGAGCTGGAATGCGTGACCAACATCACCCTGGCAAATGTCATCCGACAGCTGGGCAGCCTGAGTGAGTGCCGCAAAGAGCCTGTGCTTTGCCCTCAGGGGTCGTTGGTGCTCTTTATTTAGTTTCCTTCTCCTCCCGTGTTCCTATTTCTCCCCCATCTGCCTTCCCTAGGTAGTTTGAAAATGTAAACCACCCCCCCTTCCCGAAAGAGAGGTTCCTTTTTGGTACAGATTCTTCCCCTCAACCCTTTCTTCATCTACCACTACCCTCTAGGTTCCCTCCACCTCCCCCTCCACCTGCTTCAAAAGAAATCTGTGGGAAGGGTAGCAGGAAGGGCTGCAGCAGAAACTGCAGATGGAATGACAGAGCAGAATTCTCTGTGTGTAAAGTGGGAGGTTCACAGAGCGGTATCTTGGGTTGGGGAATGTGCCTGTAATTGCACGAGCTGTTCGATGTAGCTGACTTTGTTGAAGCCTCAAATGTGCCAATAGTCTTTATCTACCCCCTCCCCCCAACTTTTCTTCCCAAAGCAGAGTAAAGCAAACATGCACTCAGAGCGATTCTAGCTGACTTGTCTACCCTGGTAGACATTTAATTGTGCTGCAAGCCCCCAGGTCCAAGTTCAGGGTACAGATTACTTTTGCAGTCTCTAGGGTACTGGGAGTTTTGCAAGCTGCGTTTACACACAATGACACAAAGTGTAGCTGGAGCCATTCTTCTCTAGGAGGAAGATGGGGGTTAGCTCAGTCTGTTTTGGAGCTGAGGGAAAGCCAGCTCGACGATCCTTGTTTTTGTTTTTTTAATTGGCAAGAATGAATGAGACTGCCTTGGGTGGGGTACATGCATGGGTTTGGATTTCCCTCTGAATCTATCTGATTTTGTTTGAAGCTGAGGTATGGGAAGGGCAGATGCTTGGATAGGCTCTGCATTTGTCTAGTGCCATTCCAGCTCCCATAAGAATGTCCATCAAATTGCCATTTTAGTGATCTTCCTTAGCAAAGGCATCTTGGTATGAATTAATTCAGACACTCACCCCTCCTATTGCATCACTGCCCTTAGTGAAGGCAGTGGGATATCAGGAAAGCCTGCTTTCCCCCAGGTAGTAACAGGCCCTACCTTTAAAACAGGGCCCTGAGGAGACAGAGCTCTGTGACCAAATGACGTATGGGGTCTGAGATTCCTAAGCCTTTACCTACTAGCTCAGTTGATCCAGGGCTTAGGGAAGCTTGGACGGGGTGTCACGAAGAAACGAAATGCTGCCCGTGCTTGTCTTACACAGAGGAGCACTGACAGCAGTGCAGCTGACAGGGACGCGCGTGAAGGCAGTGGAGAGCCTCACCGCTTCTTAAAAGCATCGTTTCTGCTTCTGTCACCCTGAGAAGGCCAAATGGGTAGAAGTCAATCACACAGTGGTTCCTTCTCCATAGGACAAAGGACATCTAGCTAATGTTGCTTCTTACTCTCACTCAGCAGGAGTTATGCTCTCTCTCAGGTGTTTTTCCAGGGTGGTGTTGATGGATGTCATTGCTCACTCTCCCACTTGTGATCAGACCACTCCTGTCTGGAGGAAGCCGATCGGAGGGCCAGGGTTGGTTTGTGCCTATGGAAACAAGATTTCCTCATGTCGTGGAGCTAACTGACCCTTTATTCATCCAATAAACTTGTATTGAACATGTTTTATGTGCCAGATGCTGAGGGAATACAGCGATAATAAGAAATGGTCTTTGCCTCCAGGAGCTCATAATCTACCAGAGGAGACAGAAATAAATAATTCTTAAGGGGAGAGGTTGAGAGGGGGTCTCACATTTGTTGATTGCCTACTTTACACCAGGTTTTAATAGGATCTTGTCATAGATGATCTCATTTATTCCCCTTGATGATCCTTTGAGGGTAGGTGGTGGTATTCCCATTTTTCAGGTGAAGAAATGAAGACTCAGAAAAGTAAGGTAACTTGCCTAGAGAGACAACAGCCAGTAAGAGGTAAAGTCAGACTTCCAAAAAATTTCTCAGCTCTATGCTGTACTCTCTGTCTCTGCCAACACTGCCCTGGTTCAGACCTTCGTTGATTTTCACCTGAACGATTGCCTTATCCTCCCTCTGGCTTCCCTTTCTCTGATCGGCCCTCTTAAATCTGTAAACCTAAAAATCTTGTAAATCTTAAACTTGTATCCCTGCCAGAGTGGTCTGCTCAAAACGCAAATCTCACTTTTTACTTTTGTTATTCTGAATTGTTTGACTTTTTGAAAGTTGAATCTATTAACTTTTGCCATTTAAAAAGTGTGTGTAGTTTTTTTTAAAGATTTTATTTATTTATTTGAGAGAATTTGAGAGAGAGAGTAGAGAGAGAACAAGCAGGGAGGAGGGGAGGAACAGAGGGAGAGGGAGAAGCAGGCTCCCCACTGAGCAGGGAGCCCGACATGGGGCTCCATCCCAGGACCCTGAGATCATGACCTGAGCTGAAGGCAAACACCCAACCGACTAAGCCACCCAGGTGTCCCTAAAAAGTGTTTTTATTTTTTTATTATTTATTTATTTACTTACTTTTTTAAAAAGATTTTATTTATTTGTCAGAGAGAGGGAGAGAGAGTGCGCGCTCTGTGAGCCACAACAAGGGGAGTGGCAGGCAGCGGGAGAAGCAGGCTCCCTGCTGAGCAAGGAGCCTGATGTGGGGCTCCATCCCAGGACCCTGGGATCATACCTGAGCCAGAGGCAGACGCTTAA